TTAAATGAACTTATGTTTTAAATTCTAATCAACCATATATGATATATATGATATGCAATTGAAAACATAAGTTATATAATAAACTCCAATAATAATAATGAAACTTATTTGCCAGTACTTATAATAACTTCAAGCAAACTTGAACTAGAACACTTTTGATTTTACTTCAAAAAAGAAACCCCACTTATATAAACGTTAAATTTAACTCTCTTAGCATAACCGCCAAAATTTTTAATGTAATCCCCGATCACTATATCAATGTCATGGGACGATTAATTAATAATACCCTGACCGTATGTGAATAAGCAGAAACTTCGTTTCCGCTAATTTCCAACGGTCAGGATATTATTATTACAAACATCAGTTAAAATCAGGCCATCATAATTATTTACTAAATGAAATATACAATTAGAAGCGACATATAATACTATTTTATGATAATCAATTTTATTCTGCCTAACACATTCTGAAATTTAGTGTTTTATTGGTTAACAATTGCTAGGAATTCATGATTTACGAGTCTTATTCCAATCGATTTCAATTTATGTGGCCTGCGCTAAAATTTGAAACTCATTTTTAATTTCAGAGGCAGTTTAGGCCCTTTTTACTGCAAATATCCTATAGAATACGTATACATTATTCAATAGCTTTTCAATCATTTTTGATTGTAAGTAATTGTAAGCTTTAACATTATAAAGCGCCTACACATAAGTCCATCAACTCATCAGTTTCAAATGTAATTACATTCATTCTAGAATTCATTGTCTATGTTGCATTCAGTATTTATGCAATTTGGTTTAACAAAATTTTCTAAATTTTGGTGGATCCGCTAATCTGTCATTAATATGAGATTACTGTATTCAGTAGATTCTAGTAATGATTATTAGAGATGCATCTGCCCGGTCCGATTAACACTGTACTTTTCTGCCCAAAAATTGTTATTAATAACTTTACTTGTTCTCTATTCTTCGTTCAATTACTAATTTGTCTTTAAATGCGTAGAGGTAAATAAACAACCTAACGTGGTAAAAAAAAAGATTTAAATGAAAATACAATTAACTTTGTTAAGTATCTATATGAAGTTTAGACAAAATAATTATCAATTTCGTACATCAGTTTCGTGTAACATCACGTACATCAATTTTTTTTTGACAATTGATGTAACGTGAGGTTACACGAAACTGATGTACGAAAATCATGTAAATGCTATGAATAATAATAATGCTTGTATTATAAACTAAATCATACGATTTGATTGATACTTTCGTTTTGTTCGATCGGTTACATTAAATAAATGGTGTTTCTTCACACAATATATTATTGTTTGATAGTTTAAGATCAATATCCTTTTTTCTAACGTAAAAGCAGTAATTGTTTAATAAGATTCTTTGTTGGCCTAATCTATTAAGATCTTATTATTAGTAATTATATAGTATCATGCACACCTTTTTTATACTGCTAATTTTAGCGTTGTTGGATCCAACCCGAAAAATTTAGTGACCCCTACAAAAAATATACAACTATTACATTACACATCAATACATACAAAATAAGTCAAAATCTAACCTATATCTAACTCTTCCGTTCCTGGTTTCACGCGATGACGTCGCGCAGCTATCTAGTTGGATTAACGGACATAATCCGTGACCGATAACTATTGTTTTGTTTTTTGAATATACATTGTTTTACAAATCCAAAATAGAACTTAAAACTAATGTATGTAAATGTTACATAAAATTTATGCACATAAATAATTTCATTTAAATATACTTAGAACGAAAATGGTACGTACGTAAATTTCTTTTAACTAAAATAAAGCTAAACCAAAAATAAAAAATGGCAGCTGCAGTAGTTGTATCTTTAGGTGTTTCAATAGTTTCGCTTGCCGTAGCTCTTGGCAACAATATTGTTAAACAAAATCAAGATAAACAAAATCAAGAACATGTTTTAATTCGTATTAAAAATTCATGTCATTGGAATTTTCATATTCGCATTCAATCAGGAGGCATGTAAATTTATTTAATTATAAATTAGATATTAAAATTTTTATTTTAATTTATGTTTTATTGTTATAAAGATGATGATTCTGGATGGAAAAACCTTAATCCATATGAATGTGTCGTTTTTAGCTTCAGACCAAATATTTGGGGAACAACCCATTTTTGGTGTACAGTAAAATCTCAAGGCATTCATAAAACATTTCCATTATATGGCGAAGGTGCGCCTAGAAATGATAACATATTTAATCTTAGGATCGGCGGAATAGATCTTAATGATGAATTTTTTAGAAACTTATAAATCTCATATATGTTGTAACAGTCGAAATTTCCCTTCCATGGTGTGTTACCATCCGACGTAGCACAGTGTTCGATTTTTATTTTTTTATTATTTTCATTATTTTTATTATTTTTATTTTCGTAAAAATGGGAACGATTATTAAAATCGGAACGAAAGGAATTATCGGGTAAATAGTTACGAAAAGCATTATAAGAAACATAGAGTAGAAAAGAAGAATAGTATTAATAAGAAAAATAAGTACCGATTTTTAGTCTGTAAAAATCATGTATATAAGTAACGAAAATTACCTTGAATAAAGAATAACTCCCAGAGTTCCAAAAACTTCGAAATAAGAGTAGAAGTATTTGTCCAAAAACTGTTCGTCGATTTTGTATTATCTTGCCCCAATAGTGTAAAACTCGGTTGAGTTCAAAGCTCTAAGTTAAAGAAATCAGAGTATTTAACTTACGATTCACCCTAATCGTGTAAAACCCTGGAGAGTGCGAAGTTCCAAGTTAAAGAAATTAGAGTATTTAACTTGTGACTCACTTTCGTAGTGTGAAACTTTAGGAGTTCGAAACTTCAAAAAGTTCTTTAGTAGAAGAGTTTGGTTCTACTAATTCCCCCCCGATAAATAAATTCTGAATTAACGGAAGGAATTCGTGACCAAATTCTGTGATTCTGAATAAGGAGATTCGTGACTTAATCAAGAGCTCTAATCCGACACTATCGCTAAGAACCCAATTAACCCTGGTTACTCGGACCAAGTCTTTTCACGCCTCGATCGTTGCCTTACCAATATTAGGGATTGGTGTATTAGTTGTAGTGTTCTGGTTAGAGAGTTTAGTTAGTTTTAGTATTGTGTTGTAGTGTTAAGTGTGTCGTCCAGAACTCAAGGATTATTTTGCCCTTCACAATGTACATATTTGAAAAATATAAATCTAATTTAATGTGTTCAGAACTTTTTAAAATTTGTGAAATATGAGACCTTAAAATTTCCACCTTGGAATTAAAAAATCGATCACATTATCAACATTTTAATTTTTCTAGCCTCTCTTCTAATCTTTTAATTTCAATAAACTTTCTAAACGAGCCTTCTTTTCTTCTAATTGTTCTAATTGAGTTATTTTTTCAGCCACTTCTTTGAAAATTTCAGTATCTTTTTCCAATTTATTGAGTAAATTATGTTATGAATATGGGCGAGGTGTTACTCAAGTGCCATAAAATTAAAGCTTTTAAAAAGTTGGCATACTACTATAAAAAAAGTGATGATAAATTGTCTTATAAATACAATAATTTATTTTTAACTTTTGGAGGTAATATACACTTTTCAAACCTAAAGTAGTGATCTATATTAACTAATTTACGGATCATATTATAATAGTGTTGGAGGCGAAAACCGCTGCGCCGAATTCGACGTCACGAGTAAAGATGCTGGTGAAATTAATTCCACTTTCACCAATTCAACACCAATTTCAACAGCATTTTATCCATACTTATATGCCCCGAAGAAAACGCGGAAAAGAAAAAAAAGCAAATTAAATATTTAATAATTATGCCATTTTTTACTTAACACTAAAGCAAAATGAATTTTAAATATATAGTAAAACACTTGCAATAAAAATTATATACTATTTATTCCCCGGGTTGGTGGGAATAATGAAATATCTCCCCGGCGGTGCTTGAAAGTACGATATAGAATGTG